AGAGTAAAGGTGGGTCCTCCTGTGAGGTCCAACAGCAAGAGTGTATGTACTCATAGGGCTCTGTGTGCGTGCGTGTGTGCGTGCATGCGTGTGTGTGTGTGTGTGTGTGTGCGTGTGTGTGTGTGTGTGTGTGCATGCGTGTGTGTGTGTGTGTGTGTGCATGCGTGTGTGTGTGTGTGTGTGTGCATGCGTGTGTGTGTGTGTGTGTGTGTGTGTGTAAGACAAGGTGTGCTGGAGAGGAGATGGCTCCCCTATGTCATTCAACCAATATTTTGGAGGTCCTGTAACACAATCCAAACATCCTGGCAGAGGCCAGAGGAGAGGTAGAGAGGACAACTCAGCCACTACGCTGACCAAACTCTCAGGGTTCCCTAATAAAACAATGAATGGAATAAAGAGGATAGTGTGGGGCAGGATTGGGAAGCAGGGCAGGGAAGGTCTGGGTCTATTTGGATTAGGTAGGATAGTGCAGGACAGAGTTGGTTTGGATTGTTGAATAAGATAAGGCAGGGCTGGGTTGTGATGGGTAGACTAAGAGAGGGTAGAGTAGAGCAGGGAAAGGTAGGGTAGCGTCAGCCATCCTCCCCCCAGAGAGGCAGAGGGGGCGTAGTATAGAACAGTGTACTATAGTGTAGTAGGGTGTAACCTAGTAGAGTGTGGCAAAATTGCCAAGCACACCCCCGAGAATCAAAACCAGGCAAGGATGCTATTCATCTGGTACACAGCCTAGTACAGATGTACTAGACTGCAACCAGTCTTAGTTCACATGAGTTCATGTACAAGCCAGTGACTGTTTTCACTTGAGAACATGTAAGACAGAGGTTGTCAACCTCAGAAGCAAAATAGCATCACTAGGAGACCTTTCAGTGTTCTAGTGACTACACTGTGCCTCACACCCACTAATTCAGCATCCTTGGCATGGGAGCCAGAGATCAGTATTTTTCCTGAGTACTTTTCATTGTGCTTCCAAGACTAAACCAATGGTTAGGATATCAGATACGCTGTTCTGAACAGTGAGGTGGAATACAAATTGAGAAGGAAACACTTCCCCCAAAATAACAGACAATAACATGCTCACTTGTATCCTGAAAGAAAGGTGAGAAAGAGGGGAAAAGAAGAGTAAATGCAGACGGAGCTGGTGCAAAGGCCCTGGGGTGGCCTTTCCTTTCACAGCCCCTGTACTCTGTCCTTAGCACTGCTTTGACTGACCGTGTTCTGTGTTTCTATAAAGTGGTCAGTTCATGTAGAAGCAGGAGCATGCCAGCCACAGCACTGCATCCCTACTCTTGGTGCAGAAGCCAGTGTATGACAAGAATTCCTATATATTTGGATCTCAGAGGCTCCTGATGCACAAACATAGGGGTGGGCCTGTGAGAACGCGCTGAGGGACTGAGCCCATGGCACCTCAGCCTTCTTCAACTGTGGTATCAGAACTTCCCTCAAGAGGGGTTCTAGGTTCACTTGCAGAGGTCTGGTTGAAAGAAGGACCAAGGGACTAATCTCGAACGCTGTATTGCACACACTCCTGGCTAGCTGTCACTTGTTGAAATCAAGGGTCCTGGGCCAGGGCCAGACCTGATGGACATATTGAGAGGCTTTGCTTAAGCATCTCAGCTCCTTGTTTGGGCCACTTGCTGTGGTAGCCTCCAGTGTCACTCCCCCAAGTACTGTTGGAAAATAACCAACACCCTCAAAAAGAAACATATCTGCCACCTACAGCCATATCTTGCTATCAGAAGGCATTTGAAATGCCAGTGTTAGGATGTTTCTCTATGGTGAGGCGTCTGATGCTGCAGATGACATCTCATGGATCTGCTTGGATGTGTGGCAGGTCTCTTGGGAACTCTGGCTTTGGGTTGGTGGATACCATAGAGTCAAGACTGACTAGGTTTAGTGAAGCAACAAAGAGCTGGTTTCTCTGAGGTCAAATCCACTGTAGCTTCTTTCTACTGACTGGTCGGTCACAGGCCAGTTGCTTAGCCCCAGCCTCTGTTAAGTCCTTTGTAAAATGCAGACAATGAGCTCAGTGGGTGTCAAACATGATAATAATGTGTGGGAAATTGTATTCTGAGCTGTAAAGTGTTTTACAAATGTGAACTCTTTGCTTTATTTTCTTGAGGTCTTTAAAATGATGAATGAGGTCAGTATTTTCAGATGGAAAATAGTTTATTAGGTTAAAAATAAGAGAACTGGGGTTCACATGGGGAGAAGGGCTTTTACAAATTCTCAATCATACATGGTTATTCAGGTTATTTTTAATTTTATGGCCCAAGAACCCCTTTTTCCATAAAATTTAATTAACTCAGGGTTCTATTTAAACAGCAAATCCAATGAAATGAAATAACAGTCTACGTTTTATGCCTCCCCATGTTTTTCCCGTTTAATCCTTGAGTGAAAATCATCTGGCAATAGGAAGGTCTATATCTCAAGAATGAAGGTTATTTTAAAAGTTGTGCTTAAGGAGAAAATTAGCCAATAAATTAACTTTACGATGTTAGTAAAAGCATGCCAGGAGTTCAACACATTTGAGATGTAAATTGTGTGACTTAATTATTAACTTCATTTTAATATTTTCTTAATGCTGAAAGTAGTTGTGGGTCATTTTATGAGCATGGAGTTCCAATCCCAAGGAAGTCCAGAAGCTTCATCTGAATTCATTAGGTAGAATTTTTCCTTTAGGAAGCAGTTAGAGGGACTAGAGGACTTGTCTTCACCGCATAGGACATGCCCAAGAAGGCTTGCAGATTTAGGAACACACCCTGCATGCCAGCTTCCCTATTCCCATTGGCTGCTGCATTGTCATCATGTGAGAGGGAACCTGTTAGAATCAGCAGGGAAAACTGGGAAATGCACACAAGGGCCAACACAGCCGCGCCTCGCCCTCTTGTCCACCTCCTCTCCCAGGAAAGGTTCAGGCTGGTAACGCCAAGCAGCTGCTCCCTCCCTCCAGAGCTGTTTCTGGCTCCTGCCTTTTCATCTGCCTTCAGGGTCCTTCTTCTTTGTCTCCAGGCTCACTGTGCCTCTCCTGGGTTTGGAGCTAGGCTGATTCCTTTAGGAAGCCCTCACAAAATTCTCTGCCTGTAGCTGACTGGGTGTCCCAGAGAGACTCTGTCACCCTTCTTGCCACGTTACCTTGAAAGGATCTCCATCTGTGTGCTGCCATCCGCAGCAGACCATGCACTCCCTACAGTTGGTTCTTGCCAGTTCTTTCTGTTATGTTCCTAGCACCTAGTGCAGTGCCCAGCTTCTTCGGTGTGTGTGGAAAGAATATTGTGCAGTCAGGAAGGAAAGGAATACTTCTTCCTGTGTGCCAGAAACCAACAGGAAAGAGTGAAAGTGAGGTCACGGGGCTGAGCTTTATTCCTCTCAGGGAAAAGGGACTTCTGTGCTGTCCAGCGGGCCTTACGCAAACATCAGAATAAGTCCTGCTGTGAAAGGTGGTGTATCCCTTGTTGGAAATACTCTAGACCAGAAGTGTTTCTGAATTTGAAATTTGGGCATACCCAGGATGACACACCTTGAGGATGGAATCAAAGTCTAAACAGAATTCATTTCTCTCTCATAATATATAACTTATGTTTGTAGCCTGAAGGTGACATAATACAAGGTGTTTAGTGAGCCTCTGGTTTTGACTATGACCCATCACGGAGTCGGGTGTGAAACTGTCCACTTGTGGCATCATATCACCATCTAGAAGGTTTTGGATTTTGGAGCACTTAAGGGGGTTGAGGTTTCACATTAGGGATGCTCGATCTGTAATGTAATATGTAAGGAGATATTATTGTCTCCATCATCCAAGTGAGGAAATGGAGCTCTGGGGGGCCTCAGAGGTTGAAAATGAGAGAGCCAACATATGTGCTCAGCTGTGGGACCTTGTCCTGAGCTCAGTGCTGGCTCAGTCATCAGAAGGGATGGTCATTCGTTTTTTATGTGTACGTCCTAGTGAGCCAGCCATGACCCAGTTAAAGCTGAATGTTTGTACCGAGGACCAGAGTAGCAGGGCAGCCAGACTATCCCTGTACCTTCTATTAACTGGTGTTTTATGTTGCCTCGATTAGGAGCCCTCACTTAAAATCTGAAGATGAGTAGAGAGTGGTTTTTTGCTCAGTGGATGGGTTTTCACAAAGCATGTGATTATATGCTTTGCATGATTAAGTCAGACCATTTGGTTCCTGGCCAGACACTCCCCATAGGCCCTGAAGCTAGAAGTGTATGCAGATTAATTTCTAAGTGTATCTTAAAGGGGGTCTTCAGCTGCTATGGCCAGCCTTACTCACGCACACCGTGTGATGGACTGGAAGATGGATGATACAATGTCTGTGGAGAGGGAGTTCCTGGGAGTGATTGATAGTGTATATACTGGGCTGGTTTTGATGTTCTTCCTGGTATTAAATGAAATGTTTTCTTTTCATCCAGCTACATTTTTTATCCCAAAGATAGACTCTCAGAGAATTCTTATTTGACTGCATGCTTTTTGTATAGAAAATTCAAATCCTGACCTGGGTGACCTTGTTTCTGTGAGAATCCTCTGTGAGACTATTTTCTTTGTCCGTAAAAATGGGAGTGAGAATTTCAACTGCTCTGTTGAGAGCATTTACTGAGAAGGGACCCAGAAGTCATCTTTTGCCATTCTTACAGGTGGAAGGCTCTTGCATGGGTAGGTCCACTCTTGAGAGACTCATAGGGTTGCATCCCTGCCTTTGTGTTTTGGAGAAGACAACAGTACTGCATTTGATGATAAGGATACAGAACTGTTATGATTGCCTATAGCTAATGGGTGGCGTGATCAAGCCTGGATAAATAGCTAGACCCACTGAAGCAAACTGATTCTGCCATATCTAAAAGTGTTGCCTTTGGGCCGTGGGGTATAGTAATGAGTGACTGACTGGCCTTACCATTCACATAGTCGTGATGGAGGACAGGTCAATTATCCATAGTACTTTAAGGCAGGCCTAGCAACATTCACTCTCCTGGTTACATGATTTTCTCTTTCTTTCCAGGCTGTGACCCAATTAGAACTTTTTGGGGACATGTCTACCCCTCCTGATATAACCTCTCCCCCCGTAAGTATGCACTGCCCGTTAAGCGCTGCACCCTGGCCCGTTTCCCTCCTGCTGTACAGGGGCAACAATCTAGGCTTTAGTGAAAGAGGCTTGCTGGTAAATTTCAACTTGGGTCTCTCAACTAGTGATCCTGAGCCTCACTTTCCTCTACTTTGAAATGAAAAACAAAGAATCGGGATAAACGCTTCTGGTTTGAAAAAGAAATGAAACCGTGCATTCAGCAACTATGGGACCTTGCTTGTGGCTTTCTCTTCAGTCTCTAAGAAGGGAGACGGGAAGGATATATGGTTTGTGCCTGCCAAGAGCAGGCAGTCAGGTTGGGAATATGGGCAAGAAACTCAACTGGACAGAGAGCATAAGGAGGCACATGTCAGCACCTACCTGAGCCCCTAGAGCACAGGTGGTCAGCCGAGGAAAGGAAGCCTCCTCTACTCCATTCTTCCCTTCCCTCTCACCTTTCCTTCCCCCCTCATTGCTCTGTGTTCTCGCTGCCCACTCTCTTGCCCCTGAACCCTGTGAACCATGACCTCCTCAAGAAGCTTTGTGTTCCCAGGCACAGCTCAGTCAGGGCATCTGAACCACGGCTGCAAGATGATGAAGACCGCAGGGAGCCTTCATTTGAAAGGGAAAACAGGAAAATGGAATTGAAACCAAAGCAAAATAGGGGCACCAGTGCTAGATGCTTTCAGAAGCAACCCTGTAGCCACTGCAAAGACTAGAGCTAACATGTCCCCTTCAGTCCCTCCCCTGACTGCTCCCCAGAGGTGGCTAGAGAGGGCAGTGAGCTGCAGCTGCAGCAGCTCAAGCTGCAGAGCGGGGACAGCTCCTCTGGGCACCACACTGTTGTGCCGACAGAGGCATAGCACTATGACTCATTGATGAGATGCATCTTACAGAGAAGGGGCCATAACCTCAACACTGATGGCCCAAGACCCTGCAGTCCACAGCTGCTGCCACCATGGAATCCAGACTCAGCTGCCCTGCTCCCAACACCCTAGCAGTTCTTTCCTACTCCATCCCATGGTAACATTGTCATCTGTAGGTCTAGGAAGATCTGAAGGACTCTTCCAAATTTATCCCTGAATTGTACAGATGAGCAAACTGAGTCCCACTGAGGACGTGTGAGTCCTCCAAGGTCGGGGGGGGGGGGGGGGGGGGGGGGGGGGGGGGGGGGGGGGGGGGGGGGGGGGGGGGGGGGGGGGGGGTGCTGACTCTCTACAAAAGTGCTTAACACAGCAGCGCATGGCCGTGTTTCTGGCCCTGAACCCAAGCATAGTCCAAATGGATGTTTAATAATCCTCAGAACAATGCTATTCATCCTGGAAGCTGCTGGTCTAAAAATGGCCTTGTCTAATTGCCATGGTTTCAGGATTAATTGCTTGACCCAGTCTGTTCCCAGGGAAGGGGCGGGCCAACGAGGATATTATGACATCAAACAGACTTACACTCTGTAGACAAAGCTTACAGTAGAGCAGTACAGATGTTTTTATTTTGATAACCCACACCTCACCTGACCGAATGGTTCAGGTAGCTGACATTTCTGGAACTCTAGCATGGGCCAGGTAGGCGTTAGAAGTTCCCAGCTATGCAGCTCTCGTTTTGGTCTTCTGGAAATTATTTCCTTCATTTTTGCAAGGGAAGATTGAGGCCTCCGAGAGTGAGGGAGGCTGGAAGACACAAGGGCCTACAATCCCCCCACTCGCCAAACCTTCTTTGTTCATTTAGCCAGCTGTATACTGACCACGTAGTAAGTGACAAGCCCTAAACTGGGAACACAGTGGGGTTCAAGTGGGTGTGTTTCAATTTGAATTGACTATTTGCAAAAGGTGAAGTCATATGTAAGGGAATAAGTTGGTGGCTTGAAAAAAGCCTGGAGGTAGGAGCTCAAATAAATTATCACAGTGGCCAGAGTTTGCTGAGCAGCTACTGGATATGTCTATGCATGGTGCTTGATAAAAGATGAAAAACACGTAATAACCGTTTAGACGCATGGCCTCATTTAATCCTCATGACAGTTCTGGAGTTACCACTTTTCCCTTTTTTTTTGATCTTTTTGAGACAGGGTCTCCCTGTAGCCCCAGCTGTCCTGGAACTCCCTATGTAGACCAGGCTGGCCTTGAACTCACAGAGATCTGCTTGCCTCTACCTCCCGAGTGCTGGGATTAAAGGCGTGAGCCACAATGCCCAGCACTTTTCCTATTTTATAATGTCTCTGTCAGCAGCCTAAGGTCTGTGAAAGACATAAGTTGTTTGGACTTTGTCCGGCTTCAACAACACCCATGCTGCCCCCATCATCATTGTGGGTATTTGAGCAGGTCTCAAGCATCTGTCCCCACTCCTCTCTTCTGGCAGACTCCTGCAACTCCAGGTGATGCCTTCCTCCCGTCGTCATCCCAGACGCTCTCGGGGAGTGCAGACATGTTTGGCTCCGTATCTTTTGGCACTGCTGCTGTACCCTCAGGTAAGCCCCTCTGCCCTCCTGCCCCACCCCCACCTTTGGACCTTACTCAGTCAAGGAGTGGAAGGATCGAATGAATCAACTCCAAATATTGCAGGAGTCCCGAGAAGCCCTGTGAGTAGGCAGGCAGAGGTCAAGACAAAGTTGTGGATGCTGCTGGCTGAAATTTGGGGATGCTGAGGTGTATAACACCAGGAAACATGGTGCCAATCAACGCAGGTCTATTCCTCCCACCTGCCTCAGCCAGGGACAGAGAAGATGGTGAGCAGGAGAGAGGAGGAGGCCAGCTCACTGCATACCTCTTAAATCCTGATGGATAGGGGCTGGAGAGATGGGTCAGTGGTTAAGAGCACTGGTTGCTCCTACAGAGGACCCAGGTTCGATTCCCAGCACCCACAACTGTCCTAACTCCAGTTCCAGGGGATCCAATGCCCCCTTCTGACCTCTGCGGGCATGCAAAACACAGGTGCACTTACAAACAGGCAAAACACCATGCAGGCAATACACTCATACACATAAAATAAAAATAAAATAAAAACCCTGATGGATAGAAGGGATTGCCTTATGTAGTGCTTACTCAAGGAAAGAGAGGTCTCCATACACAGGAGGGGACCCTTTAGGACAAGAACAAACTGCTAACAGTGAATTGGGAAGAGAATGTGGCTTTTAGACATTTCCTTGTTTTCTAAGTGCCCTTTAAAATGTGTATGCTATGTTCACAGCAGTGTGAATATCTATGGTGACAGTGCTACAGGTAAGTTTTGAATAACTGACATCCCAGGGACTGTGTCTTGTTTCCATGATATTGGCCACTCCAGGTAGCCCGACCACTTCCCTTAGAAATGGCCACTGGTGGTTGAGTTTAGTTCATCTGCCTGGGAGCCTGGAAGAGTGCTGTCTTTCCCTTTACCTACGTGCTTGGAGTTAGAGGCTTAATATTTCTCTCTTGGCTTTCTTCTTATAAATGGCAAGTTAGAGTTTGAATATTTTACAATACAAATCTGCTTGTGCTTTTTTCTATAAATAATTACTTTTAATTATATAGTGTTAGAAGCGAATTCTTGCTACCAAATTAAACCTTGCTATTATTGTAGATAAATTAAAAATTCATACCCTGTTCTGAAATACACTTATCCTTCATGAGCCAAAGAATCATTATGAACTTTTAGAAGCAATAGAAGTCAGTATTGGCTGGCTCTGACTTATAGCTTAGACTCTACAGTCAGCCTGGGGATGAATTAATTGCCATGGTTCCCAATGGAATCTCCTGTCGTCATCTCTGAAATGGACTAGAGCTGATGACTCTTTTTCTGTGTATAAAATGGACATTAAAATCTTGGGAACTATGCAATAGAATGTGCCATTTAAAGCACACACCCATGCTTCAACCTTGTGTCCAAATACCTGTACTTTGTCCTCACTGTTTTGTCTATTAAGAGGTTGAAATAAATTATGATAACACTAAGCCCAAACTTACTAGTCCTCAGCATTTTTATGCCACAAATCTTCACTGGGGGTCCACTTTGTGCCAGGTCCTCTTCAAGGTACTTGGGGTTTATCAGTGAACACAGCAGGGGCCTGCCTCCTGTTGGGGACATAAGCAGTAACATAAATAAGTTGTACAGTATGAAAGGGATGAAAAACAGAAAAGAGCAGGGACAGGACCCCAGAGTCCTGGCCAAGGAGGCTGCAGTCAGGAGGGGCTCTTGCACCAGGCAATGGCTGCAGAGTGAAGGAACAAGGGGGTGTAAGGGTGTAAGGCAGGCTTCTGATTTAAGGGATTCCAGACAGGCTGGAGAACAGTGTGGCCCCTCCCACCTATGTTCCCTTCTCTATAAATGATAAGGTGACACTAGGTGTGATTTCATGTCTCTTCCTACACTTACCTTTGGTTATAAACACCCTGAAGACCTTGTCAGGCACAGTGCTGGTTTCTGCTTTGTTCCAAGCCAGACTGAGGGTTCTGCAGACCTGGATTTTAGTCTTGCTATTTAACTAGCTCTATTACAAGCTATGTAAATGCTATACCTTTGGATTTTTTTTAATAGAAAAATTGATCAGTTACCTCCAAGGTTTCAATTTTTAGAACATGAATTTAAAATTAATTTCCATTAGCATATTTTTGCTTTCTGTATCTACATAAAAATATGCTTGCAATAGTCCTAAACTAGCGGTAATCCAAATCTTTCCCTCCTTCAGCTGGTGTTAGAATCTCAGCAGCTGTTGAGTCTCTACCTACCTGTCACAAATTGTCCAGCCAGGGATAGGGAGACAGGACCACAAAGTGAGGCTGACTGCTGAGGGCTTTTGAGTCTGTTGAACCAGGTTTAAATCTGGCTTAGTTACTTTGTAATAAGGTTTAGACATTGGGGGCAGATAGCCTGTCAGACAGAGTTTCTTCATCATCATAGCTGGGCTGAAAAAAAAAAAAAAAAAAAAAAAAAAAAACCTTGCAGTAATACCATGAGAATTAAATGGGAAAATTAAGCACCTTGGAAAATGCTGTAGATGTTTTAGATTACTTGATGTGGAAAGGCTACTGCTATTATTATTGCTATAGCTCTGATTACCAAAGTAAAAAGACATACATCCCCTATCTTTTTTCCTTTACCTTTTTAGGAATATTTAAATACATATAGTGAAGTTTAGGTCTTCAGTCTGTTGGCAGCTGGTGGCAGTGGTAGCCTGGGTGGCCTCTGGGTAGAGAATAAACAGACTTTGCCACTAGCCAGCTTCAGAAGGCTCAACCTGTTGAGCCTCTCGGCGCTTACCTGTGAAGTGTTTGGCCTCGCAGAGCTGTACTGAGTGACCTTTGTAACTGTACCCAGACATGCGTTTGCAGTAGGAACTTGGCAGGTGTTTGTATGCTTCCAAGCAGGGCCTAGGTTTTGTTGCTCCCACAAGTCAGGTGCATGCAGATTAAACACACAGTGATAGTAGCTATTCCTGAGACTTACTGCAGGGATCTATTTTCCCCCAAAAGGTTTTTTTT